ATGGTGTTAGGAGGAACTCACGTGGTGTAGTAGTTCCCTCAGATGGTGTTATGAGGGACCTGGCGTGGTGTAGTAATTCCCTCGCAGATGGTGTTATGAGGGGCCTCACGTGGTGTAGTAATTCCCTCACAGATGGTGTTATGAGGGACCTCACGTGGTGTAGTAATTACCTCACAGATGGTGTTATGAGGGGCCTCACAGATGGTGTTATGAGGGGCCTCACGTGGTGTAGTAACTCCCTCACAGATGGTGTTATGAGGGGCATCACGTGGTGTAGTAATTCCTCAGATGGTGTTATGAGGGACCTCACGTGGTGTAGTAATTCCCTCACAGATGGTGTTATGAGGGACCGTGGTGTAGTAATTCCCTCACAGATTGTGTTATGAGGGCCTCACGTGGTGTAGTAACTCCCTCACAGATGGTGTTATGAGGGGCATCACGTGGTGTAGTAATTCCCTCACAGATGGTGTTATGAGGGGCCTGACGTGGTGTAGTAATTCCCTCAGATGGTGTTATGAGGGACCTCACGTGGTGTAGTAATTCCCTCACAGATGGTGTTATGAGGGACCACGTGGTGTAGTAATTCCCTCACAGATTGTGTTATGAGGGACCTCACGTGGTGTAGTAACTCCCTCACAGATTGTGTTATGAGGGACCTCACGTGGTGTAGTAATTCCCTCACAGATGGTGTGATGAGGGGCCTCACGTGATGTAGTAATTCCCTCACAGATGGTGTTATGAGGGACCACGTGGTGTAGTAATTCCCTCACAGATGGTGTTATATGAGTGAGGTTTGGTCTTAGGCCTTCCTATCGTAGACGGATTAACACATCGCTGGTTGTTGTTGGGTCTCACGGGTCGTTATCACTGGGTACCTGGGACCTCACTGTGTGAAGGTTAACTTGGGTACGACTGTTACTGTTGAGTTGTTCTCACTGACTTAAGCACTGTTCACCACTTTTCACCTCTGTTTAACACTGGTTCCGTTCCTTTCCTAAATGAAATTGTAACTTCTGGCGAGAACTTGTTGATATTCCGGTGGGGAGGAGGGTTCAGGGGAGGGGGTTGGTATGGGCCAACTTAACAGTTGACCTGGCTGCTCCGAGAGGAGCGCCAGGTACGTCTTGACCCTTCGGTGGTCAAGGATGTAGTGATATACACCTCAGTGGGATGTCTTCCTTAATAATCACATCTACTAATTGAAGTCTAAGTAAAGTGAGATATGGAGGTGATTGTACCCTTAAGGCAATTCAATGTTATTTAAAAAGGAAGAAGAGAAAAAAATAAACAAATATAACCTAGCTGCCTCCTGTTGGTGTTTTTACCTGCTCTGTGCATCCTGTTGCCTTTACAGTTGTCTTCTGTTTTTCTTCTCTTTTTTCAGTTCACTTCGGCATTTGTCGGTATCTATGTGCTATCTCTATGTACAGTCAGTTCTGCTATAACGCGATAGTTGTGTTCTTGTAAAATATCGTGTTATAGAAATTCGCGTAATAGAAATAACAGGGCTTATGGAGAAAATAGGGTTAGGTGCAGATTACTACTCGAAATCGAAACAAATTTAGTAGTTAGCCTAACACGAAGGTTAGCACAGTCTAAATAAATGTTACATTCATATCTAATAATGAAATCATACAGTAAATGTAACACTTTACCTTGAAAAAATATGAATATAACTTGATGGGGGAGAAGGGTGATTTTGAGGTTGATAACATCGAGCTTCTCTTCAAGGGTTATAGCCTTTCTTTTACGATCATCACCGGGAATGCGATCACTAGAACGCTTCTTGGAGATATTCTTCTTTACCATATTCACAGTTAATATCACATAATTGGAGAAATAGTAAGCAAAAATCGCGTTACAGCTAACAAGCGTTCGCGTTATACAAATATCGTTCCTCTATTCATAAATCGCGTTAGAGCCAATTCACGTTGTCAAAACACACGTTATAGCAGAACTCACTGTACACTGCATTTTGCTATGAATAACGAATTTTATACACCCACTCAGTCCTTTAGAAACACAGATAAAAATAAATAAAACTTTCTTTGGGGCGGTAATAGAATGTCTTTTAGGATAGCCAAGCTTGTTGATTTTTTTTTTTTTTTTTTTTTTTAGCTATTATTTCCTTATACTTTCTTTTCCAGTTCTCATCAGCGACTATATCTCTCTGTACTTTCACTGTGTACACTGCATCTCCCTGTGAATGGTGTATTATAGGCACAGTTTCAGTCCATGAGAAAGCACACAAACAAATTAAAATTTGAAGTCTCTGTGGCACCTATAACATGACTTGGTTTCTGCTGGCAGTGGTGCCTTATCAGCTTGCTTGCCAATTTGTATATTTTTTTAAGTTATCTACAAGCTCTTCTGCAGTCACTGATGACACTATGAACTGATTTAACTAAAAGCACAGTACAGTAATCCCTTGGTTATCACGCCTAATTGGGACCGTGCCGAGTGTGTGATAACGAAAAACGCGTTAACGAAAGTACAGAACCTATGGGATTTATTCTAATTGGTTCCAGGCACCCAAGACCCAACCCCAATTTTCCCATTTTATGACCATTTAGACCCACTAAAGATATAGACAATGTTATGGTAAGTATCAGAAACACACAGGCATGGCTAGGTTTATTACAAAGTGATGAAAAGGGAACAATAAGGAAGAATACATTTGTTACTGGGTACGTTACTGTACTTACAGACTTGAGCTGGTCTTGAGGGAAGGGATTCCGAGGCTAGAGGGTAGAGAGTTAAAAGTCCCCACCCGGCACTAACTCTTCGAGTAACTCTTCATCCTCTTGAAAACCCTCAAAGTCAGCTTGTTGTTGATGAAAAAAGTCCGTAATTTGTCTCTGTTGTATTGCGTTGTGGCGTTGGTTTAGCTGGTCAACATAAGGCTGGAGTGCTCTGCCTATGATACCGGACACACTTTCACTGTCGCCGGCTGGGAGAGGGTGCTGTTCGATGAGGTGTTTCAACAGTTCACTCACCTCAATGATCTTCCTGACTTTTGACATGGGCTGTGCAGTGGGTTGTGCTTCTGGGCTGTCTTCTCTGTTCTGTCGTTTCTTCCTCTGCCTGCCTGTCTTCTTCCGCCTGCCTGTCTTCCTCCATAATATCCTTAGCTGTAGGCATAACAGGTTCCAACATAGACCGTATGTCGTTCTCTGTCGTCTCGTCGAACCCACGTCCTGCCACACGCCTTGCCTCCTCTGCCGCCAACTCAACCTCTGCCTGGACAGACTGCGGTTCCCCTGGCACTTCCTGTCGTTGGTCCTCGGGCAAACCCTCTAACACATTTCTCCGGACGTGGTTTACGGTCGCTGGCGTCACTTCATCCCAACACTCAACCATTAAGTCGATCGTTTCCTTGACGTTAAATGCCCGCCAATACTACTTGACTTGCTGCTCCGCCTCTGTTTCTACGTCCCCCCCTCCCTCCTCCTCCTCTTGGTCCTCCTCTTCCTCACTGTCGACCAGCATCTGCACAGCATTTTCATCCTCGGTTGCAAAGCGCATCCTCCTGAATTGTTTACGAGAGTAAGCAGCCTCAACACACGAGATTATTTCCATGTCCATCGGCTGGAGGAGAGATGTTGTATTAGGGGGTAGAAATTCCACTCGTATGTTTGGATGTGCTGATCGTAGTAGAGGAGAATGGCCGGGAGCGTTATCTAGCAACAAGAGAATGTTGAAGTGGATGTTTTGTGCCTCACAAAAGGCCTGGACCTCGGGAACGAAGAAGTTGTTAAACCAATCCAGTGACAGCTTCCCCGAAATCCAGGCCTTCTTGCTTGTAAGCCAGTTCACATTAAGCCTCGTCATATTTTGTCGTTAGTAGGCTCTGCTTCTTTGCTCGATGGTTAACTGTCGGTTTCATCCTGCATGATCCCGTAGCATTAGTGGTGAACAAGACGGTGAAACGCTCCTTAATTGCCTTCCTGCCGCGGACCTCAGCGTCTTCCTCGAATGAACGAACAGTTCGATTAACAAAATTTTGGTTAACGAATTACCTCCCATAAGGATCTTCAAATCGGTTGACGAACAAAACTTCGATTAACGAAATCCTTACAACAAACACGTTTTGTTGTGAGCATCAGCTGATGGGCTAGTCTGCCAATTCAGTAATCTGTTCTATGTTTACATTCGTTTCCAGTGGAGTAAATATCAAGAAAGTTGTGCTCTTTAATATTTTTGCATTTTTTATATTAAAATTATTAGTCATTTTAACATTTATTTAACATATTGATAATATATGCAGTACAGGGAACTATTTTTTTGTGCACCCATCAGACGCTTGACTCAGCCACAAGGCGTCAGTTTGACTTTGTTGACTGAAGTGAACATCTATTTTGTTGGTGTCTTGAATATTTTTGCATTTTTACATTGAAATTATTGGTCATTCTAAAATTTAGTTAACATATGGATAATATATAGCGCAGTGCAGTGTTGATTTAAAAAAAAAAAATCTTGAATTACACCTAGTGAACTTAAAATTTTATTGGTGAAATGACAGCATCAAGCATGGGTCCCCTGAAAGGTGATTTCTCCTCCATCCCCACTTCCTTCTCTTCTCCCTTCTCCTCCTCCCCCACTTCTAATTCCCATCATCATCATCAACCAGGAACCTTCTACATACACACCTCAAAGTAAGTATACTTTACTGCATTTTTTTTTTTTTTTTACTTTGTATGTACTTTTCGGTGAGCTGGAACCAATTACCCAATATCCCATTGAAACAATGGATTCGGTTAATGAACGACCCTCTGGAACGAATTGTGTTTGTTAACAGAGGGACCACTGTACAATACTTCTGGATGCAACAGCCTGTTGGCATCCAGATGCTCACGGGCTAAACTATATACAGGAAGTGGATGCCATTTTTTTTTCATAGGCATCAATACTAAGGCTGTTGCCTCAATGAAATTTGTTTTCTGTATGATTACATATTAATTATATCCAAGTGAATATACAATGGGTTGTCCCAATTTCAGGTGGTGGATTGGCAACCCCAGTTGTGTGTGTAGTAATAGAAGGAGGACCTCAGACTATTAGACAAGTACTAGAGTATGTCACTGACTCCCCTCCAGTCCCTGTTATTGTTTGTGATGGAACGGGACGTGCAGCTGATATCCTGGCATTTGTCCATAAGTAAGTTTCTCTGGTAGCAAGAGTGTTTGTATGTTAACCTAAATTATGTGTGTGTTTTATCCTGATCCATCAGTTTTTACATAAAGAGACTTAATGGCTGCTTCCCTTTTTGTAAGATATTTACCAGCAGTTACAAGTTCCAAAATGCAAACATATATATATATTTTTTTGTAGATATGCGTGTTCAGGGTTGAACATGATTGAGGCAAACCGTGACACCATTATCCTAGCACTTGAGCGGGTGTTTGAACTCAGACCAGTGCAGGCAGAAAAACTCTTTGCTGAAGTTTTGCAGTGTGTGCGCAAGAGAGATCTTGTAAGTCTCTTCAGATTTTTTATGCTTTTTTATGATATATATAAGTATAGACATAGACATGAACCATCATTAGAAAATTGGACAATCCCTTAACATACCCAATATTGTGCTCTTCTGTGACCCAAGCCAATCTGTCTAGTACAAAAATTACAGACATGGTTATATAAATATTTTGTTGTTGTTGTACAGTATGTGAGCTATTGATTCTCAGTTTGTGTTCTTTGTTTATTGTGCCAGATTACCATCTTCCGGCTGAAGGAGGGTTCTGAGTTAGATCAGAGCATATTGTCTGCACTACTGCATGCTCAGAGACTCAACCCACCTGAGCAGCTCTCTCTAGCTCTGACTTGGAATAGAGTGGATATTGCTAGAACCCACGTCTTTAATGAAGAAGTAGAATGGTCACAAGGTAACTTTTTACTGAGTTTTATGCTGTCGAGTACAGTATCCTGCAACTAAGAGCTATTTCTTTGTCTCCAAAATAAACAATTCAGATTCATTTTACTTGACACAAGACCATTAACAGTGACATAATCTCGTATCTCAAATGATTTTTATATTTGAGATATGAGATTATGTCATTGTTAAGGGTGTTGTGTCAAGTAAAATGAATCTGAATTATTTATTTTGGAGTTAATAATGCCTGTATATTGTTGCAGAATGATATGCATGAAGTTAAATACTTGATAGCATATACTGTACTTTTAAATTATAATGATAGATATAAGAATTAAATTAAGGAAGTACTGAATGATTATAGCTAGAAGATAATGATTGGAAGGTTTTAACACTGTAATAAGAGGAAAATCATTGTTCAGTATAGAGTGCATGGGAGGGGAAAGATGTGTTATATGATGCAGTTGGATGAGGAATGGGTAATTGCACAAAACTTTTTATTATTATTATTATTATTATTATTATTATTATTATTATTATTATTATTATTATTATTATTATTATTATTATTATTATTATTATTATTATTATTATTATTGGGCAACATGAGTAAATGAGTTATGCAACCAGGCAAATTCTGTCTTTTTGGACATTAACTCAAGATTAACAGTGAAATGAGCAGGAAAGGCTCTGCAAGCCTTAGGAAATGGGAGGAAGTTAAGAGTGAAATGTTCATCATGGAGTGTGTGTTCCAGCTCTCTTGTGTGAATCTGAATTTATAACTTTCCATAGTACAGGACAGGTGAGAATTAAGAAACTAGAAAAATAAAATGTGATAACCTTTATTAAGTTCTAGGAGTACTGTATGTCAAGGGAGTATACCAGGGGATGGACAGGAGACAGTGTGTAATTGGAAAACAATTTTGTATGAGAAGGAAAAGTGAATATAGAGGGGACTTTTCCTGATGAGTCACATTAATGCACAAAGTGAATGAAAGTTGAAGCATCTAAGGCACTTTAGAAGTTCAGATACATTTGGTGTCACTCAAATGGAAATAATTATATATATATTTTTCTTTTTAACCAGATTCTTTGACTCATAGCCAGTTTTATATTTAGTTTGAACTTTTGTAATACAGTACCTATGTTGGGCTCAAAGACTGAATTCATTCGCCGAGTGAAAAAAATCCGGTTCCACTACATTTGCAACAAGGATGTCTAGACCAGGTACTGCACCCTTAGTTCGAGATATCCTTGGCACTTCACGCTTGGAGTTTCTCAAAAGATGTTTAAATAGAATGTTGGGTAATTTCCAATATACGGGTAGTTAACCAATTGACAGCAGGTCATAGGCTCCAAACTTCTATGCAATATGAGAAAGCTTGGAAACTTTTTCAACAATTTATCAGGTTACGACTCCAATCACATTGTCGGAAACAGTGGTTTTAGAATTTTTAGATTTTCTGTTCAGAGTTAAAGGTCTTCAAGGATCAAAAATTGCATCTTATAAATCAGCATTGGTTGACCCTTGGCGTGGGGTTTTAATATTACTTTGAACCCAAGAATTTATCAAATGCTCAGATAGTCTTTTTTCATTCAGAGACCCCCTCGGCCTATATCCCACCTTGGTCTCTAGAAAAAGTTAATAAATTTCTTATGGGGCCTAATTACAATATAAATCTGAACCAGGACAGATTCCTCCAGAAGGCAGCTTTCCTTCTAGCAATATCAACAGGTATGAGAATCAGTGAACTTATTTCAATTTCCAATAATCCATCATTATTGGTATTTTCTGAGGAAGATGTCACCCTTTTTCCTACGGAGATCCTAAGAAATAATGAAAGGGAGGATTTTCAAGCTCAACCTTTCAGGATAAAACGGCTAATGGATGAGACAAGGGTTCCTCATATATTGTGCCCAGTTAGGAATCTTCTAGATGGTTAACCAGATTCCCTAATCGAGGCCCCAATGACTTCTCATCACAGGATGGTAAGAAATTGTCTCCTAGTCAAATGACAAAATATTTATCTCAGTTAGTGAATCAAGCAGACCCTGGCAAGAAATTTTTGGCACATGACACCAGGAAATATGCAGGGTCTGTGGCCTTTCTGCGGCATATGAGCTTCAGTCAGTTTAATGAAGTGGGCTTTTGGAAATCTTCAAAAACCTTTCAAATCAGCTATCTTCATCTATCTCTGGAAGATACTTCACATGTGGTGGTACTGGGGTCCCCTCCCCCACCTAGTTAATCTCCACAACCAGGACCTTCTGCTTCCTCATCAGAGTAAAGCGGGTATCCTAATTGGGATATGTAAATTAACTCTTTACCTTCCGGTAAATGTTCCTAATATTGGAAAATATTCCAAAAAGTTTATAATTATAATCTGGACCTAAGCTAGCGGAGCCTTATACACAATGTCACCTCCTCTCCACCTCCTGCTCGGGTAATCAAAGCTAGACGTCACTTTCTGGAAAGTACAAAAAGTCGTTTTTTTTTTTTCTAAAAAACAGTTTTAGTGATATACATAGTCCAGAATGCGATGTCAACATCCCACCCATCTCCATCCCTCGAGAGTTAACATTTGTTTACTGCTCGCTCTAGGGCAAGAGATGACGGTAGCAATGCGTGTGATGGAGGGTGCGGGAGGGGTTTTTGAGAATTGCAATTAAATGCCAGGTAGCGACGTGTCCTCCTAATATTACGTATTTAAGTAATTATTACATGTCTTAATTGCCTGTGTGTTGGCCTGGCGAGTTAATGCTAGGCATCTACGTACCTAGGTATAAAGCTAGACATCGCATTCTGGATTGAACAAAAATGACCACAATGCATTCTGGACACAAATATTATTATCAGAATGCAAAATTGGTGTTGTGGTCTCCCCCAAAATATCTACAACGTGTTATGGACAGTCTCAACATTCCAGAACACAAAATAATTATAGTATTGTTTTGTGGGTGCCAAGTTTTGCCCATGATGCCAGAATGTGATCAAGGTTAGGTTAGGTTAGGTTAGGTTAGGTTAGGTTAGGTTGCATTCTGGCAACATAACTAGTGAGTGAATTCAGTCTTTGAGCCCAACATATGCACTGGAAGATGGGGCCTTCACGTGTGATAAGTGGCCTGTAGTATAGTGCATCATTTTAACAGATTACCCCCCTAACTCGAATTGTTCTCAGGGGCCCTGGAACAAGCAATGATGGATGCTTTAGTGAATGATCGAATAGAGTTTGTTAAGCTCCTTCTTGAACAGGGCGTCACAATGAATAAGTTCCTAACCATTCAGAGACTAGAAGAACTATATAACTCAGTAAGTATGGCAGGTGACTCAGTTTTTCATGTAAGTAAACAAGTTATAGTTGCAATGTTAATGCCTCTGTAACATAGATTTTACCTGAGCTTTGTGCTGTAATGTAAATATATATAGAAATATGAAATGGTCCCAAGTCATCTGAAATGCTGCATTCCTGTACAATTGTCTGCTCTCAACCTAGTCATTTCCACCCACCTTTCATCTCAACAAGTCAACAATTCCTACACTTCTCACCAGTGTTAACAAATTTATTTTCTTTATCTGTAAATTTTAGCTCTAAATTCTACCACTGCTACAGTTATCACTCTGGACAGCTCACACCAACCCCTGGCTTTCACACTTCTCTCACCAATATGACAGAATTGAAACTTATCCAGAGGCTTTACTAGTTCACGATCACACTCACGTTTCTAGGGTCTTGGGTTAGACCAGCGTGTTGTTTCTCCTGCAAGAATCGGTAGACTACTGTGACAGCAATCGCAGCCCGAGGCTGCCCGAGGCGAGGGCCATCTGTTTCATATTAAACACGTCAAAAAACACGTTGTCAACACTATGCCTCTCTTCTCACCCTCTCTCCCTCCCTCTCTCTCCTAGTTTATCTTACGGTGGCGGTAACACTACCCCTGTCGGGCTTCGCACGAAATCATGGCATATTATTAGATTCACTCTCCGACCCCTTCCAACAGGCAGAGTCTCGTCACGGGCGTATTAACACTGAGTCCTTTGTCTTCACTTTAACACTTCGCACCAGGCCATCTTTGCTCGGTAGAGCCTCCAGTACTCTCCCTAGCATCCACTGACTCCTGGGGAGGGGTTGTCCAGAGATGATCACGATATCCCCAGCTTGGAGATTACAGCGGGTTTTGAAGAACCTTTGTCGCGGTCGAGTAATTTGCGGCACTTAGGTATCCAGTACGTCTCACGTATTATAGCAAGAGTGTGTTCTCGTCCTGAGTGTCCAGCTCTAGTTAAGTGTACCTCTCTCCCGATGAGCCCCGTGATCCTGTTGTCTCTTGGCAATAGTATGGGATTCTCCTGGTCTGGCTGGAGAGCGGCAAGTTTCAGTCGGCCACCTACTCTGATCAGACCGTCCGTGTCTAGATGCGGTTCCAGCCGCCTTATGTCGCTGTCTCTCACGGGTTGTCCCTGTTGTAACATACATAGTTCTCGAGGGAATCCTTTCCTTTGCATCAATCTTAAGACGGCTAATTTCGCCTCTTCCAATTTGCTGACCTGGAGCCGATTTTCTCGATGATGTTTGTTCTTTTTCCAAACCGCCATTCCATAAACCTTCTAATCCACACTACGCTCTTCAGAAGTCGATGCCTCGATGAGTACCTGGCCCATAGCTTATCGAGGATACCCTCCCCCTGGTCAACGTTCGTCGTCAGCACCGTGGTTTCCTTCTTCACCTCTGGGTCTCCGTCTCTGAGGTCCGGAATCCTCAATGGACTCTTTGGCCAACTGTCTTCTTCTAACAAGAGGAAAGCAGGTCCCCGAATCCACCTGCCCTCCTCATTGAGCTCTGCTCTATGTAATCCACGACAAGCATCGTCGGCCGGGTTCAGTGCCGACGTCACGTGACGCCATTGTTCTACCTTGGAGTCCTCGTGTATCGTTGCCACTCGATTGATCACGAAGGACTGGAAGCGTCTTTCGGTGTTTCGTATGTACTGAAGGACTGCCGTCCTGTCTGTCCAGAACACTGATCTGTCTATTTGTAATTCAAGTTCTCGTCGTAGTCGTTTGTCTGCCTTGGCAGCCAGTACTGCCGCATATAGCTCGAGTCGAGGTATGGTCTGCTGTTTCAGAGGGGCTAGCTTGGCCTTGTCCCACACTAAGGAGATTCGTTATTCAACCCAATACCTCGTCTACACTCATCTTGGAATACAGCCATGCGCCGGTTAATGCCCTAGATACGTTCTTGGAAACGTGACATTAACCAAAATGGATGTTGTCCGATCATCACATAAACTTTGTATTTATACTTACGTGTATGTGGAATACTATATACGTATATATACACTTTTACTCTTAAATCACTACTGTAATGTGACAGGTGATTAATTTTTATCTCTTGTGCAAAATACATGACGTTTATATTAAAATTATTCACTGTTTTACAAGGATTCCAGCAACGCCGGGCAGATGGGGGAGAGAGAGGGTGGGAGCGAGCGAGGGGGCGTGGGGGGAGGGGAGGTAGTACGTTTGACAGTTGGCACAGGCCCAGGTCTAACGCGTGTATATTTATCAGTTCTTAAGTGACTAAGCTTCTCTTATAAAAAGCCAGTGAAATGACCTGGGTGAATATAATTAACATTATTGGGATTCTTGTAACATACTGATTAATTTGAATATATACATGCTATAATTTGCACTAGACAAAACAATTTTAGTACTGTAATCAAATTAGTACATGTGCACTCCAGCTTTGCACTAAGGTCTTTTATTTCTATTACGTTTCATTTAGTATGGTGTGTGCATGTAAATGGATGAAAATAAATGAAGAAATCTATGTAAATCTACCCAAAAATACAGTTGAAAAACTTTTTTATAAAATGTACTACAGTACTGTACACTAATGTACAACAATTTTTATCTCTTGAGCAAAATATATGACGTTTATATTCAAATTATTGGCTGCCTTGCAAGGATTCCAGCAATGCAAATTATAATTTCCTAACTTTAGTCTGAGATATTATATAAGATAAAAACTGTAAGCCTGAAAGCCTGGCTGGGGGACTGACGGCTCCGCCACCCAGAGAGTTGGGGGGGGCGTGGTGGGGGGTTGAGGTGATAAGTTTGAGCAAATATATGACGCTTATATTCAAATTAATCTCTGTCTTGCAAGGATTTCAGCAATGCAAATTATATTATCCTAACTTTAGTCTGAGATATTATATATAAATAAACATAAAGAAATCACCAATCTTTTGTCTGGGAACACAAGGAGGGCGGGAGGTGAGGTGACAGAATGTCTGGCGTTTGTTTGTTTATTTATTTGAGATAAGATTTGACAGTTGGCGCTGAAGGCCTGCCTGCGTGTTTATTTATCATTACTTAAGAGTGACTAAGCTCTTCTCATAATTTGCCACCCAAACAACCTGGGTGAATATAACTCACATTGGAGGGATTCTTGTAAGATAGTAATTTATATGAATACCTGTATAAACAAGCTATATTTGCAATAGACATAACAATTTTAGTACCGTAATCATTTAGTACATGTACAATACAGGTTTGCACTTAGGTCCATTGTTACTGTACAATACTGTATTGTGAACTACAGTATTAAGCGTACCCTTTTCATCACTTTGTAATAAACCTAGCCACGCCTATGTGTGTGTATGATATTTACCATAACATCATATATATATTTTGTGGGTATAAATGGTGGTAAAATGGGAAACTTGGGGTTGGGTCTTGGGTGCCCGGAACCAATTAGAATCAATTCCATAGGTTCTGTACTTTCGTTATCAGCGGGGTCCCAATTAGGCGCGATAACCAAGGGACGACTGTACTGTATTGTATATACTTGTGACGCTGGCCAGTTGCTTCTGGTGTTATAGTACAGGGGTACTAAGTGACAGCACTAGGATCCCGCTTCCTCTATCAAGGAATAAACAATTAAAATTTAATTGAAAAAAAAAAAACCATTCAAATAATGAGACCTAGCGAACCTAAATGGCCAGGCGTACGTTATCTAGTGAATTTAGTCAATACAGTACATGTAGCTATGCTTTTTTTATTTGGTCCCCCATCATACGAGTCCGTTTTCTCTCACACCAGGATGCCTGAGTCCACCGTTTTCTCTCTTAATCTTACGAGTGCATCAGAGACTTCGCTATTTCTTAGTAATGACACAGAATTTGAAATTGCAACCCCAATTGCAACTGGGTTTGCAATTGTTGAGGCAACTAGATATGTCTGATTACAGCAAATGTGTTATTGTCAATTTGTAGGTGAAAGATTTTATCCTCAATAGATGTAGGTTAACATTACACCTGGAGGCAAATGCTTAAAAAAAGCTAAGGAAGGAAGCATATTCCTTTAACACATAATTATCTGACCAGTATGGGGAGGATCATCGTGTCTCTGTCAGGGGGTCGTGGGTGGTCCAGCAGGCGTCACGGAAGTTTTTTTTTTGGGGGAGGAGGGGGGGGCCACGGACGTATATGCGATTGGACGTTGTTCGGTCAGACGTTAACCGATGCATGACTGTATATATAATTTTGGTTCTTGTGACGCTCGGAGCGATGAGTCCCAGTGGGTCATATATGGGGCTGACCATACTCAGAAGGCTTCATTTCGTCTCTGGTTTCTTAGGAATCTGGACCCGGACCTCTAGTTCGACTTTTTCCAGGTCCCACAAGATTCCCAGTGCTCGTTCAGTGGGGAGCCTGTCGTCTTTCAAATGACTTCCTTTACTCCCACGGCTTTCTCTGTCTGTGGAATTGCCTTGAGGACTTCCTTGTGATTACAGACCCCCTTCGTAAGTCCGAATCCGCCCTTCTTTCTCAGCTGTCTCAGTCAATGGGTAATTATCGTTGCCTTCCTCGGCGAATCTACTGAGAGAAGCAGATCATCAATGTAGAAGTTACAATTCGCTTTTTTGATGTCGTCATGGAGACTTTCCCTGCAATCTTGGAATGTTCGTTGTAATGCATACCTGGCGCATGAAGGGCTACACATACCTTCAAAGAGATGTACAAGTACTGTCATTTGGTAAGTGGCGGGGCCCCTGGCAGCTGGTCGTCCGTCCAACATAAAAATTGTAAGGCGTCTCGATGTTCGGTACTACTCGCACTTAATGGAACATTGCCTCGATATCAGCCATGAGTGCCACCTTTCCTTGTCTGAATCTGATGAGGACTCCAATCAAATTTGCTGTTAAGGTCTGGCCCTTGCATCACCTGGCTGTTCAATGACATCGACTCACATTTGGCCGCACAATCAAAACTATTTTCACCTTTTCTAGCTTGTTGGGATTCAACACA